CCATGTTGTCCATAGGTTGTATGATCTGGATCGGGCAAGTTTATGAACCAATTACATCACAAGGTTATTCACCTACAAGCAATCTTGTGGAACACCCTATCTAAATGGTGAGCATTGTGAAACCATAGAAGTTAAAGCACGAATCAACATGGCTGTCCAGTGCAGATTTCCGATTGAAGAATACCTGGTCAGGCACCACTCGCCACAGATTCGGGTCCCTTTAAAGAATAAAGGAAGCAAGGGCCCGTGAAATGAAAAGAATGTATGAATATAGACTTACCCAGTCAAAGTTGCACCAAAACTTGAAAAATGGCCACAGGTGGAAGACAAAAATCCGATGAAGAAGAAACTGCAATACGGTGTAAATAATGGGAGATGAATGTATTAGGTCTACTCCACATGCCAAATTGTAGGATTTCCTCCAATGGCCGACGAAGTCAAGATGGAAAAAGTGGGGTGTCAAATCTGATGAGAAGACACCCTGAACAAATTCTGGTGGGAAGAAGACAAGGAGGAATAAGTCAATTGAATCAAACATTGAACTCAACTGGTGAAGGTAGAAGGGGATAGGTCATGATCAGAGAAAGACTACCAAGGGATAAAGAATCGGGAAAGGGTACCACGGAAGGAAGCCACATGAGCAATATAGCAACAAAGTGTACAGACTGGACATAGAATTCAGACAAATCAGACCTTCGACATCCACAGGCTAAGAGGAAAAAGAAATATATTTTAATGGAAAGGTGAAACATGGAGCACAAGGAAATAGGTTGAAACTGAGGTAAAGTGAATGGAGGACCACATTAATATCTCAGAAGACTAGGTCATCTGGGGGGAATGACGAATCCAGAAGGAATGCATTACATGGTAAGAACAGGGGAAGTAAAAACTCAATGATATCAGGAAATACGAAAGGTATGGGATAAGGCAGCCCAATAACCCGATATCAAAGAGACCAAATACCCCTACAGTAAAGCCATGTTAGAAACTCAGCCACGTGAGCCACAGTAGGTTGGTCAGTGGGGAATCCCTGATTAGCAGTCCAACTGTAGAACACCTTCCATTTACACTGATACACCTCCATTGAAGGACATATGGAATGAGGCAAAAGGAAAACTACTCGATGGGAGAAACCCGATCTCCTTGCCAAGGACTGGATAAAATCCAGGTGTGAAGATAAAAAACATGAATGGCAGGATGTAAAACTGGTGACCAAGGTTGACAAAGAAGGGAGGAAGACAAGAGAAGGAGTACTGGAAGGGAAAGTTGTAGTTGATGTAATCATGGAAACCACAAGTGAGCTGGCCAATAGGGTGCAATCAGAAAAACTCGACACGGTGTGGTATGGATGAGAGAGACTATCTGATGGAGTAATCAGATAGGAGGATAAGCATAAAGGAATTTGTGAGACCAATCCTGGCTGAAGGCATCGACCTTCAGAGCCCAAGGATGAGGTACAGGGGACTAAAAGAGGGGTAATTTGTGATTGAGCACTGTAGCATTGCATCTATGTGTGGAAAATCTCCACAGATTGTAAAGCCACTGGAATACAAGGGGATCTAAAAACCACTTCATTGGAGAAATTTTGTCAAGGCAGGAAAGATGATTGACTACGAGATTGAAAGCATCTGGAACATGACATGCAATGTGATGAATGTAGTGTGTGTGGGCCCAATATAGGAGATCTAATGTACAATAACAGAGATATTGGCTGGGTGCCCCTTTGGTGATTGATATGTGCTACCACAATAGAATTGTCAGAATGAATCATAACCAGACCATGTCTGGCTAGAGAAACAAAGTGATTCAAAGCCCAATGGACCACAAGAAGCTCGAGGATATTGATATGCAAAGACTGCTCATCAACAAACCAATGACCTGAAGCCTCTTGGTGATTGATCCATGCACCTCAGCCCTGAAGTAATGTGTCCATGAACAAATGTAAATCCAGATGAGGAGAAGGTAATATATGGGTCTTGTTCAACCACCAAAGTAGATCAACCAACAGAATATGAGGAAGGGTAATGGGAGCTGCCAAGGGATCCCGAGCAATGTTTCATTGATCGTGAAGAGCCCACTGAAGGGATCATGTATGTGCACGACTGAGGGGGACCAGTGATGTTATTGAAGAGCACATCCCCAAAAGTGATAGAACCTCATGATCAGAAAGTGAGGAAGCTGAAAGGGTGTGGCAAACTAACAATTCCATGGAATGAAGTCATAGAGGAGAAGGTTGGGCCCGACTGAGATGAGTATCAAAAAGGACACCTAAATGGAAAGATAGGACAGAGAGAAGGACTTCTCCAATTTGATTAACCAGCCCACCTTGCAGCCATGGAAGGAGCTTACGAGTATGGATGGTCAACTCCAGTTTGGAATGAGCCAGAAGAAGCCAGTTGTCCATATAATGTTTAAAATAACAAAAAGTAGTTTATGAAGCTGCCTTACATAAATCAACAGGAGACAAAGCTAGACCCAAGTTAAAAACGAGACATTGTAGGCACATTTGGGTGAAGTGGGTTCAAACTCTTCATGAGGCACACACAAGGCAACTTTAGAAGTTAAACCCTGATAAGCTTGGGAAAGTTTGGGTGTAGAATTTTGAATCAGGGTTGCCTCAACAGAGATAGGCAATAAGGAAGAGGTAGAGGTTAACCCTTGTGAAGATACTGTAGAAGAAGAAACTATGGTTAGGCCAACCAATCTGGAACTACCAACAGCTCTCAAGTAGACGATTGAATTGTAGACAGAACTCAGAGTAACAGACAAATTGGGGGAAAGGTATAAAGGTGCAATCTCATCCAATCTGTACTGAATGCATCTATTGCCAAAGCCCGAGGATGAAATACTGGGGACCAGAAATGCCTGTAGGTTAATCTCAAAGAGTCTCAAATGTGTCAATCATTGAAGACCCAGAATGAGAACAAATCCATCAGAAAACCTCCCAGTGGAGAATCCATGCAGTCAGGAGTGAGCCCCATAGAGAAATAATCAAAATTCGAAAACAAAGGTCCCGAGAATGCATGCTCCCATGACGGTAAATTTAAGAGACCTCTGTGGAATCGATGGAAAGAATCATGATGACATTCCCCTGCAACAGATTTAGACCTTGATCCATAGCCTGTTGGACAGTAAGAAGTTCTAAATTATTGATGTGGACAGAAAATTCGTCTTCTGTTCATATACGCTGGAATTCCTGATCTTCAATATATGCACCCCATCTCTGAAGTAAGTCATCTGTGAAAAAAATTAAACTCGGGAAAGAGGGGTGGTATAGGTACATCTAGGAACCCCCCCCCAGGCCAAATATATGCCTCCATCTCACAAGGGATCAAATCACAGACAGCCTCAACTGAGAGTGATCCCCCAGGCCAAATATATGCCTCCATCTCACAAGGGATCAAATCACAGACAGCCTCAACTGAGAGTGATCCCCCCGACTGTAGAGAGATACTAGATAACAGAGGAGGAACAGGGGAGGTCTGATTTGCCTCCATGTTGACAATAGTAACATGGAATTCACACCTGGAAACGCATGCAAATTTTTTTTTTAGGAACTGATAATTGTACAGAAATCCACAAGGCAAAGCCAAAATTGCAAGCCAGAATGTAACGAAGCACAGCACTTCATCAGGAAAAACCATGACCAAATGCTTTGTCAAGAAAATATGATTACATTATCTGAGTGAGGTGCTTATATAAAGTACCAGGATAGAGAGAGCATTGATGTAGGTGGCGAGTGTCACAAGGCCAAAAATTGACAAGAGCATTTAAGTGAGGTATAAATAACTGGAGCAAGCAAGACCAATGCTTAGATAGGCAAAGTGAAGATCGAGGAATAGTTATGTGTCAGCAAATGTAAGTATGTTTTGGAACTCATTGTACTGTGTGAAATATTAAAGAAACTGAAGTGCACTTATTGAAACTACATTCTGTATAAACAAGTATTTAAATATAATAACTGCACTGAAAATTCTGTTTTACATTTAAAACAAATAATTATTTCCAGAAAGCATTTCTGAAGTTTTGTATCTATACATTAAAGCTTTGAAATGTAGTTATAGGTAAATTTGTTTACTTTTGATATCTTACATACTTTTAAGAGATAAGTTATGCATACACAGTGAAAATACTTAACTTTAAATTATAATCTTTGATTTGTGATACCAGTATTCCTATGTATAAGACACAAATATAATGCATGCATGATAAAGGTTAAAAGACTAAAATTTATTCTACCTCACCTATATTTAACTAACTCCTAGTTTTAAGTTAAATGAAAAACTATTCCCAATTAGTGTCACAATTTGATATACTCAGGTGAATTAAGTTAACTTTAAAGCTTCACTTGATAAATATGCTAAATAGAAAACTATACTCAATGAATGAATGGACAAGAAGTGATATACAAAATGAATAATCTTAAATAAAACACAACATAAGAACAATGTGTATGCCTATTAACTCACCTAATGACTCAGTCAGAATGCAGGATACAAGGTTTCATACCCTTACCTTACCTATGCTATGCTAAGTTTGGTTATTATTCTTTGCTTTGCCTTGTTCTCTGAATTTAGGATTGAAAAAATCTCATTTTCAGACTGTTCAACTGGTACTACCATGTGACAAGTTATACTCAGAATAAATACTTGAGACACTAACCTCTGAGTATTACTGAATTTCAGATTGAAAAAAATATCATTTTTAGACTGTTCAATGACAAGTTATACTCAGAATAAATACTTGAGACACTAACCTCTGAGTATTACTTAAACAACCACTGAAGGATATTACTAACTTAACCCTTACACAAGATTGCACTTAGTAATGTTCTTCACAGATGGTAACAAGATACACCTAACTTTGAAAATAAAAAAGGGATAAAAGTAAGTTGAAACAAGCTCAAGTTAATGACTTTCTCAACCACATTTTATGTGAAACCCACATATGTTCAGAACAAAGAATAAATTCAGAATAAACATTATAACACCAATACTCACCTCTGTTTCAAAAGAATATTTCGTGGTTCCTCAGAATAAGTCTTGTGGTCACACACCAAAATACGATTTTGTCGCTGAAGCCTGGCTAATTCAGCTTCAGCTGTTTCCTCATTTTCAGCTTCAATACTGATATCAGACTGGGCACCAGCAGCATGCATTATTACTGAAAGAAAATAATCCAAGGAATAAATGAAACATTAACATTTTCCTACACTGAACTGTATTTCTGATAGATACTTACCTCCACTTCCATAATAGCTTTTCTTGACTTGTGCTGCCATCTATATGTGTAATTTTCTTTCACATCTAGCCTTGATGCTCCTACCTACCCTCACGTAATTTTCCATGGTATATCTGTGCTGTAGCGTACATAAGAGCATGCAACAACCCTCCACCAATAGGAATGGACACACCCTTCTAGCACAGCTGACTCCCTCGAAACTGAAGAGCACTATCATCACTTCAAGATTAGGCACAAAAGATGCACCGGAAGTGGGGAGGATGAGTGAGAAGTGCGAGGTGAGGTACATGTCTATCAGAAATAGATTTTCAATGTTGGAAAATATTAACTTCCAATACAATATCTTACCTCTTCTCACATAATAGCTAGAATCCCACATTGAAATGGTGGAGGGATATACAAGACTGTTCAGTTTAAGAGTTATTACTCAGTTTATTTAGTGATTTAATATTTAATGATTATTTACTTTTTATTATAAGAGTATTAAATGTTAATTATTTTAAAATCAATAGTCATGACAAGTTTCATTACGTAACTCTGTACGAGTCATATGTTGTGTATACAATTTAATTATTGTACTAGACTTTTGTTATATTGTTGACGTCATCTTACTCAAAATGTTTAAGTTTTTTCTCATTATGTGTAATATTGTTGTTATTAGAGAGCTCGATATTTCTAGAATTTCTGTCATGTTATAAATATACATGCAGATACAGAGAGGAAATAAGTAAGTCAGTGAAAGGAAAGTGAAGTTAGACTATTTGACTGCCAATTTAGCTAAAACAGGCAATTTATAAATTGAGAGTTTCACAGTTTATATTGTAATAATAGAGATAAAGAATAATAATTTGTCTTGTCAATGGGTGTTCTAAATTAATTGAGCCTACTTGTGTGGACTTTGATGAAAAATAGAGTTATTTAAAGTTCTGGATACAACTGTGATAACCAACCGTCTAACGAATTTTGTACACATGTTTGACTTGTTTTGAATATATTATTTTAAAACAAGTGGATTGTATGCTGTCCATTTGTTGTTTAAATTTATCACCAATAAGTTACAGACATACTATAAACAATCCAGCCCTATAAAAACCTGACACCAGTGCAAAAGTTACTAAGATGAGCACTCTTTGGAAGGTGTCTGAAGAAGAGAACCCAGGGAGTGCATAGGGTCACACACATGGGAGACACGCCTCATCTGTACCAGGTATACTCTTCAATCATTGTAAAGATGCATGTGACTAAATTGGGCAGAAAAGATGAATGTCCAATCTATAATTGGATGCAACAGGTGATGTAGGGTAGATAGGGCACTTCAGACTGTATTTGGTGGGTCAACTCCAGTGAAAACGAGGTGGCATCTGGTATTCGTCTTCCGGGCTGCAGTTGGAGGAGGTTCCCAACCATCTTCACTTCAATACCAGGAAGTGGAATGGAAAAACAACTTCCATTTTGACAACCCAGGTAGGGCATGTGTGCATACCCAGTACACAACCAGCACCAGGCCTCCTGTGAACCATACATCTGAGTGACAGTAAGAAGGGGCATGAAAATGTGGTGGGTCACCACCAATCCAAAGCCAAGCAGTATCAGGAATTTGTTGTCCAGTCCTCACATGTGTGAGGACTTAAGTTAGCTGGTCCTGCACCAATCTAACACCACACTGCCTAGAAATTGACATCCAGGCAGTGGTATGATGGAGGAAGTCAGCAAGAGGGGTGAACTGCATGTGATTGAGTCATCCAGTCTAAACCAAGAGACATTGGGAATTTTTCTTTTGGTCTCCAGTCGGAGGAAAGTATTCACCATCTACACCAACAGAACACCATTGCCTTATTCTTGACTGAATGGAACAAGTCACACACAGGAGGAAGCCTCCGTGGTCCACCATGCCAGCAGGTAGGAGCTGGTAAGTGGCAAAGAACTCCCATACCCACTCCACTGTAAGAGGGAGAACAATGCACTGGGTAGTCTGGAGGAATGCAACACCATAAGACAGTGCAATGGATGACCACAAAAACCTGTTTTGAAAAGCAGGCTGTTCACGGCGTGTTTAACTAGGACCAGAGAGATGGCCAGTAATCCTGACATAGCTATATTCATGATAGTCCATGAGTTTGTATGGTCTGGTGCAGGCTTTATTTATGAATCAGGATACCACAAGACAACCTCTAGCAACCCTATCTCTTCAGTGAGGATTATAAACCTGTACAGCAATATGGTGTGGATTTACAGTTAAGTATACTTAGACAGGCACCACTTGCCACAGAGTGGGATCCAGGAAAGAAGAAATGGCCACTGGAGAGCGAACAACTTATCCTTTTAGAGTCAAATTGATGTATGGAGAATAGTGATGGGTGGCAAGAGACAGCACCAGATGAGGAGGAGATGGCCAAATGATGCAGGCAGTGGGTTACAAATGTGTGAAGTATGGTCCACATGTCAGCCTGCACAATTTCTTCTAAATGGAAAATGGAAGTGGGCAGGCAGGGAAAAGGTGAGATGATGTACCTGGTGGGAGGAAACTTAGAAAATGCAAAAAAAAAACCTCAAATAATGATGAAAAAGCAAGACAAATAAGCTGGTAAATCCATCTGATAAGGGTGATAAGAGAAAGATCACAGATAAAGGAAACAGGATCCACAGAAGGAAGCAGTGCAAGAAACATAAAAATGCTGAAAATGTACTGGACAAAGAACCAGAATTATGAGGAGACTCCCTCGTAGGCTGTTCCTGCTCCTACTATGCATCTGGGAAGGCACTCAATTTTGCCCTTTTCTCCTTGAGTGGAATAATGAGTTCAAGCACCACTCAGGAGGAATATACCTCTGTCCAACACTCAAGTGACTGGAAATTGGGAGTGGTAAGGGCTCTGACACTCCACTATGAGAAATGTGGGGGATACTCTCATTGGGGAATCCAAATGGAACAATGCTCTGTGGCGGGTGTTGACTGATCAGATATGTTTATTTCCAAATTCACACTAGATACCAGTCGCCTGATAAAAAAATTTCCTGGTTGTTACAAGCTCTGTTGAGATGGCATGTTCCATAAGACCACCTTATGAACAATACACTACTAGACGGCTGCTAATGGAATATAATGTGGAAAGCTTAAGGGATTTTATCCATCCCTGCTGATCCCTGGCTTGAATAAGTCAGGTCAGTTTGCTTTTCAAAATAGGGAGCATGGTTCAACTATTGCACTGTTTCCACTGTGGGACTCAAATGAAAATGACGAGAGGGTCCTTGAAAAAGAAAATAAATAAACACAAAAGAAATGAAGTTACTCGCCTGTTTTACAAACTAGCTGGGATGTGGAGAATAGCCACAGGGGTAGTCAGAAACCTTCTGAGGAATCAACCACCAAATCATGTAAATAATGAGATATAAATGTATTAGGCATGGTCCACATACCAGCCTAAACAATCTCCTCCAGCAGGTGATGCAACCAAGCTACCAGGGACATTATGATATAACAAATTTGATGAGATGAGACCAAAAGAAGTCTGTTCCTCCAATGAAAGCTCAGAGTAAACAATATGCACCAACTGATGAACCCAACATTTCAAAGTGACAGGTTTTAAGTCATGTGACACCATAGGATCTCAATGGATAAACAAATGGTGGCCTGAACCTCGACACCCTTCAGTGTGTGCACATAAGATCAATGAGCCTAAACCAGGCTTAAATAATGATCTGGATTCGAACTTTCATACAATGAGAAACGAAGGAGAATAGGAGAGAAAACCGCTGAAGTTTTGGGAAGAAAGGACTGTATCAGGATACAAGAGAACATAAGTGGAAAGGTAAAGAGTCCTATGAACATGAATTTGAAGATCAACATCCGCAACCCAATAAGAGAAGAAAATAAGTCATAATCAAAAGGCATGGTCCACATACCAGCCTGTACAAAGAGTAGACGAGATAAGGCATGGAGAACCACAAAGATATCCCAATTATGAACCTGGAAAGGATGTCAAAGATAGATAACACAAAGCTATTCCAGAAGCAAGGCCAAAACCAGGAACTCAAAAATTTTATGTCTTCTGGAAAAACAAAATGTAGCTGACAAAACTGCCTTGTACAGAGAAATAGACAAAGGCACCAAACTTTTATCGATTAACCATGTCAGAAATCAAGAAACATAGCACAGTGGAACAAAAAGGATTAAAACAATGAGAGAGACACCTGAAAATAAGTAAAGCAAAGATCAATCCCTTACATCATGCAATGGACCACATAAAAGCCAGGCATGAAGCTGGAGAATGGTGATCATCAGATGAAGAATGCCTGACCAAGGTTGACATAAGAGGGATGGCCAGAGAGGATGTGGAAGAGGTTGGCACTCCCGAAGATAACAAAAGAGTGGAAACCAAGGTTGACCCAGCCAATATGGTACCACCAGAAGAACTCGACAGGACAAGGAGCTGTTCAGCACAAGAACCTTGAATAATAGACGAATTGGCAGGAATGCATAAAGATGAAGACCTGTCCAATCCTGGCTGGCAGCATCTATGCCCAAAGCCAGAGGGTGTGAGACAGGAGACCAGAAGGACGGGAGCTGAGCATTCAAGTGCATGGTAAAAACATCAATCTGAGGTATCCTAGATGAGAGCAGATCCAACAAAAGACTTGTAGAGAAAACATACATTCTGTGGGACAAGATAACTGATCAGCTACTAAATTCATAACACCTGGAACATGACAAGCAAGGAGAACAATCTTATGATTGTGGGCCCAAAAGAGAAGATCCATTATCTGAGAGACATGGAGTGAATGCCACCTTACTTGGAAATGTAGGATCCCACATTGGAATTGTCTGAGTGAGTGGAGGGGGAAAGACAACCAGTATGATAGACATTGGAGGAGGAGATATGAAATGAAGGATCAATCCTCTCATAAGAACGTGAATTACCCACT